ATTAATTTGTTTTTATAAGAAATTGATATGTTTAAAACTGGTTAAATTGTTAAGATAACACATTTTTATTCTTTCTTTATTAAAATAGTATTTTAAAAAAATTATTTTTTTCAAATTGACATCCATTTCTTCCACATAGGTCGAAGGCGCACCTGCATGACAACGTCTTTTGAAAGGCTCTTCCTTATGTAAGTGTCTTTGCTTCCTATGTGATAGAAATGAGTGTCATTTTGAGAATTAAAGATTTTTTTGTGGATAAAAAAATTTAGGGTAAACTATATAAATGGTCACTGAACTTTTAGGGTGTTTGCATTTTGATCGCCCAACTTTTAAAACTTGCAATATAATCATCAAATTTTTAGTTTGTTTTCAGTAAAGTTCATGATGTTACTTCCCATTAGTTTTATATGACGTGACACATTACTATTATTTTTTAGCTTAATAAAATAATCCTTTTAACCCATTTCAAACATAAAAAATTTTCCCCACCTAAAATTGATCGAAAACTCTAAAAATCAAATTTATCTTTCTCTTATTCTCTTTATTTGATAATTCATGTTCATAAACGCTTCATTTTACATGTTGAACATCAAATTTCAAATTCATGTTCAAATTCCAGCTTACCAAAATGAACTTGAACCAGTAAACATAGGGAAAATAGAATCTCTAAATCCTAAATTACTCTTTTCTTAACCCAACATAATCATGTACCACAAAACCCCCAAACAAACCACTAAAATCACTTGCTAAAACCTTCTTCCTCTCTTCATGGATGTCATCTTCCTTAACAAACCAACGATAACAGTATATGAACATAGATTCAATAGGGGATCATACCAAATAAAAAATTACAATTTCTTATAAATACACTCCCATTGTTAACACACCCAAAGAACCTCATTCCAAAATTAATATTCATCCAAGCTGTGAGTAAGGTAGTTGACATTCTGCAAAAACATGTTGGGATTATAGTTCATGTCTCCATTGCTAGCTTTGATTGTTGATCAAACAAAGAGAATAAGAGAAAGGAAAATTTGACTTTTAGGGTTTTCAGTCAATTTTGAGTGAGTAAAATTTTTCAGTATGCTGAAATGGGTTAAAAGAATTATTTTTATTAAGTTGAAAATAACAATAATGTGCCATGCCAAGTGAAACTAACGGGAGGTAACGTCAGAAACCTTATGGAAAACGAACTAAAAGTTTGGTGACTATATTATAAGTTTTAAAAGTTTGGTGACCAAAATGCAAGTATCCTAAAAGTTCAGTGACTATTTATGTAGTTTACCCAAAATGTAAAAGGCATTATTTTAATAATACAACCAAAGTTTGGACAAAAGATTAGGTTAATATCGTGCCCAGTATTTGAAAAAAATATAATATTATATGTTTGAAATGTTCTCACGTTTTCTTTTTGATGAATTGCGCGATTGTATTCCATATACGTCTTAGAAAAGTACTTTCATTTAATAAATAAATAAAAAGTATAAAACGCCAACAAAAAGAAGAAAAGACGGTGGATAAAATTATAAAATATGAAATAAAATCACATTATTAGGAGATTTGATTGATTTTGTAACGTAAACATATGACATGGGCTGTCGACAATTCTATTTATTTTATTTTGTGATTTCTCCAATGTTCGTTCATCATCATGCTGGTCACTATTTATTTTATATAAAAAAATCATGTTCATCACTAATTAATATTTAGGGTAAATTTATGTTTAGTACCAAAGCTATTAGTTTTAGTCTATTTTATTATCTAATCTTTCAATTTTTTCAAAATCATATCTAACATTTAGTTTTTGCTTCATTTTTAGTATCTCGCTGTTAAAAACTTAACTGCATTTTTTATGGGTAAATTACACCATTCATCACTCAACTATCTTTCCACTCCTATTTTGGTACTAAAGTTTAAAAGTTTTCAATTTAACTACTTAACTTTCAAATTGCTCCTATTTTAATCACTCTAATTTATTTTATTAATAAATTTTGTGACATGACATTTTTTTATTTTTTTTATTAATATATAATTAAAAATAAAAAATAAAATTGAAAATTGAAAATTAGAGTGGTTAAATTAGGAGTAATTTAAAAGTTAAGTAATTAAATTAAAAAAATTAAACTTTAGTGACCAAAATAGGAGTGAGAAGATAATTGAGTGATGAATGATGCAATTTACCCATAAAAAGATGCCACGTGCAAATCACCCGTTAAGTTTTTAACTGTGAGCTACTAAAACGAAATAAAAACTAAAAGTTAGGTATGGTTTTGAAAAAATTGAAAGTTTATGTACTAAAACAGACCAAAACCAATAGTTTAAGTACAAAACGCGTAATTTACCCTATATTTATTTATTAATAATATAATTAAATTTTATATTACGGTTAGTTAAAAATTACTTCAATAAGTTAATATAAATTATTTATCATATATTTGTAATTATTTATCAGAAATATTTTTTATAAATATATTTTTTTTATAAAAAGATTTTCATTTGGATACAATAAAATCTTTCAACTTAATAAAATCTTCAATAAGATCCCGTGTCTATTACTATCAGATTTTATATTTTCTTTTTTAAGACAACCCACCCAAGCACATAAAAAAATGGAGACAATTGTCACAAAGAAATTCATACATGTTAAATATAAAGATATGAAATTTTTTCTTAAAAATTACATTTAACATCAAAAGAACTCAGTAACCTTCATAAAAGTTTTTTGTTTTTATCGAACGAAACGTTTTATGAAATGATAAAGGAATAGTGAGCGAAACAAACTATTTGACACTACTTTATTACATAATTCTGATTAAATCGAGAAACAATAAACCTGTTCAAAAGACAAATTCCTACATCCAAGTTGCATGGAAGCCACAATAAAATGGAATAATGAAGCTTAATACGGACGGAGTAAGTCAGGGAAACCCGGGCATCTCGGGCGCAGGTAAAATCATGAGAACAACTACTAGTAGGTAGATTATGGGGTTCACGACGCACCTAGGCATATGCACAAGTGTAGCAGCTGAGCTTCATGCCACAAGAATTGGATTAATGCTTGCATGGGAACTTGGGTGTAGAGCTATTGAGCGTGAAGTAGATGTCCAAATAGTTCTAAACTTACTTGATGATGAGGACGTTACGGTGCATCATATGGGGGTAATCATCTAGGATATACAGAATTTGAGAGCTCGCAATTGGGTGTTAATATTCAAACATACTTTTCATGAAGGGAATTTTTGTGTCGATGCGTTTTCGAAGATGGGTTGTAGCATTGAGCAAGAGTTAATGGTATTTGAATCACCGCTGGTTAAGTTCACGTCATTCCTGGATGTAGAAGCTAGAAGGATTTCGTTCCCCAAAGGATTTATAGTAAGTTGGACATGTTTCGTCTTATTTCTCGCTGTAACAATAAAAAAAAGCATTATACTAAAAAAATTATTCCCTTAATTATATAGTGTTGTTTTATTAAGTCTCTCAATTATTCGAAGTTATAAAATGATCATCTGACTATAAGGCATTTCTTTGTTGAATTTTTCGATTATTAAAAATTACAAAATGATCATCTGACTATTTATATGTTCCAAACTCTCTCTGTTCAGTTCAAAAATTGGCAGTCGACTAAACTAGACATTAACTTGCTGATCGAGATATGATAAAATCATATTTTTATGATGTCTGTCGGCACCGCCGTTCTTTTCAAGAATTGGTTTTACAACATATTATTTCAAGCATTGACTCGACGACATAATATAGATTTAGACTCAATGGCATAATGTAAACATTGACTCGATACACAAAATACATCTCAAAAATCAGATTTACCATATCCCAGTGAACATATTAACGTCCAGCTCAAACAATCACCAATTTTTTTGTAACTTCTGATAGTCGGGCTTAACAAAATTCATCTTATAATCGGGGGACTATTTTGTAACTTTCAATAGTTGAGGGATCATTTGTTTACTTTACCCTAAAAAGTTTAGATGACATGGAAGAAAAGGACAATTGTTGACGTCATCTTGATTACATTGTTATTATTTTATTATATTTAGATCAATTTATTAAAAAAATAATGATTTAAATAAACATAATAAAAATTTAAATACTATAATAATTAAATTGGTTAAGTTAAGAGGGGCGAAATGTTCTATCAAATTTCTTTTCAAATTTGTATTGAATGAAGAGAAATCTTTTTAAAGATAATGATGCTGATATGGGTTATTATATAAAATATGATGGATGGGCCGAAAAAAAAAGGGTTTTAAAAATGAATGAGTAAACGAAGAGATTTGAATTTTGTTGGAAGTTGAAATTTGGAAGCAATCTTTTTATAAATAGCAATTTTCCTCGTTTTCATATCCCAATCAGCCATATTTCAGTTTGATCAATCTCTCTCTTAAATCTCGGTTTGTGTCTCTTTTCAAGAAGCATAAGCCATTGGAATTCTGTTTTTTTTTTCTGTATGTTTCTAGCTTATGAAATCTTCATTTTCAGCTGTTTGCATTATGTTATATTGATTTTGTCATGGCGTCAGAGTCGAAGAAAAATTATGTTGTTCTAATTTACTGGATTTTTCTTCTTCTTGAAAACCAAACATGTATTTGCCATTGTTATCAAACGGAAAACGAGCTTAGCTCATCTCTTTTCTTCCCCTTTCTTTTTTCTTAATGGGTTTCTTTCATGTAATTGGATGCTTTTTTCAAATTCAATACGTAGATTTCATTGCACTTCTTTGTTGTTTTTAAGTTGTTTCGTTGGATTCTACAGGATTGTTCTATTATAATCTCAGTTTTGGCAATAAATTTGATACCGGATATTAATTAAAGTGGTTATTATTGTTCACCTACCTGTTTCTGCTATATTTTGTCAAATGAATATAGTTGAAGGTCATTTTCCTTTTTTTTTTTTATTTTGGTCTTATAATGGATGTTACAAGTACAGCTTTTATTGCCTAAATTTGGGATTCTAAGCGCAAAAAATTTATCTCCTTCAGATTTGAAGAAAATCAGGATGGCAAGAACAAGGATTCCCGTCTTACCGATGGGACTAGTGCTTTGGTGCTGCTTGAATATCCCAGCAAAATCAGAATATATGAAATATAAAGATCCGAATCAGCTGATACCTGTCCGAATTCAGGACTTGCTTGATAGAATGACATTAGAGGAAAAGATAGGACAAATGGTCCAAATTGATCTAAGAGTTGCTTCCGCTGAGGTGATGAAAATGTACTTCATTGGTGAGCAACATCCATCACACTCTCCTTCAATAAAGTGCACCAAATGAAGCAATTCTCGAGTGAGCAATAATAGACTAAAAAGGGTATGTTTTGCTTTGTCAGGAAGTATATTGAGCGGAGGTGGGCATGTCCCGGCTCCACAAGCTTCTGCAGAAGCTTGGATAGACGTGATCAATGACTTTCAAAGAGGTTGTTTATCGACCCGGTTAGGAATTCCGATGATCTATGGGATCGATTCTGTTCACGGAAATGGAAATGTTTACAAGGCAACTATTTTTCCTCACAACATTGGTCTAGGTGCAACCAGGCATGTAGATGCACTGTAGCTGTTTGGTTTTAGTCTCTGGATATGCTTAAGAGTCTAACTATAATTTCACTTTTTTTCTTATAAACCAGGGACCCTGAACTTGTTAAGAAAATTGGGGCTGCAACGGCACTTGAAACCAGGGCAACTGGCATTCCATACGTTTTTTCCCCTTGTATAGCGGTAGCTTTAATTTTCCATTTCCTGTTTTTCTTAACCTAGAGAAGAGAGTTTTTCACTTCTGATTCGTTTACTACTTTTTTTTGAACAGGTTTGCAGAGATCCAAGATGGGGTCGATGTTACGAAAGTTACAGCGAAGATCCCCAGATTGTTCAAGACATGACAGAAATTATACTCGGATTACAAGGAGACATACCTACTCACTCTACTAAGGGCGTTCCATTTGTTGCTGGAAAGTAAGCAATTCGCAAACTACACAAGTTAAACTGAATTTTGGATTTAGACATGATCTTTATTTACATAGTTAACTGCATATAACACGAAGTCGTGAGTTTTGGTCACGAAGTAACAGTTTTAACATTGGACCAGATTTGAGGTAAATGTCGCGAACAAGTATGTTTATCCCTTTTTGGAAGATCGTACACTTATATTCATGTTTAAATATGTGTCGTACACGGGTATTTTGGAGAAAATAAAGAGACTGAGCAACACAGATCTTATTCCTTGTTGCTTGTTATTGTTGAATAAGACTTTGGTGAACATGTGTTGGCTAAGTGATGGTGCCCATGTCTTTACAATATTCATATTGAAAATTAATGTTCTTCTGTACATGAATTCCACTCCTTACAAAGAGCAAACAGAAGTAGAAATATAGGTCCCACTTGCATCCACAATACAAAGTTTGACTGCTTCTTGTAATTAACTTGGTTGGCCTCAAATCTTATCCAGAACATATTTGTGGGTTCCAAGCATTTATTTCTGAATGGAAATAATGTATAGATACCTATACACAAATCTTGAGCTTTTAGTGCTGTTACATGTTGAAATTATATCTTATTTTATTGTAAGGTAAAGGATGGTCATTTTCTAGCTTTCTAATTGCAGAATTTGTGTCCCTTTCTTGTTTTGGTATGAAGGAAAAAAGTTGTGGCTTGTGCTAAGCACTATGTAGGTGATGGTGGAACAACCAAAGGCATGAACGAGAACAACACGGTGATAGACTGGCAGGGTTTGCTCAGCATTCATATGCCAGCTTATTATACTTCAATCATGAAAGGCGTTTCAACGGTCATGGTCTCCTATTCAAGCTGGAATGGGATTAAAATGCACACTAATCGTGAGTTAATCACGGGTTTCCTCAAGAACACACTTGGTTTTAAGGTATAACTCTTTCTCATAGTACCGAAATCATGTTTTTGGGTCACTATAACTATGTTACTTGGACTTAAGGGTAAGTCTCCTAATAGGTGTCTGAATATGTGCAGATATGAATACTTTGAGAAAAAAATGAAAAGTCCGAGTAACATAGATCACTGGTATTACCTTACAAAAGAACCTGGGAACATAATATTGATTTTGTACAATGTCTCAGGGCTTTGTCATCACGGATTGGGAAGGTCTTGATCGGATAACAACTCCACCGCATGCAAACTATTCATATTCAATTCAAGCTGGAATCCATGCAGGCATTGACATGGTTAGAGTTTGCGTAAAGGTTTCATTTTCATCTGTTTTTAAAGTGTTGGATCTTCTATTAATGTTAACCAATTTCAGGTCATGGTTCCATACAACTATAAAGAATTCATAGACGGGCTAACCTTCTATGTAAGAAACAATATGATCCCCATGAGCCGCATTGATGATGCAGTGGCGAGAATTTTGCGAGTTAAGTTTGTAATGGGCTTATTTGAGAACCCTCTAGCAGATAACAGCTTGGCTGACCAACTAGGAAGTCAGGTTAGTTTATTAGCCATGTTGCTCTTTAAACCAGTGAATAAAAGACTAGGCCAATAGTTGAACTGTAAAAACCAGTTTAATTCAGCATTTTTCCTTTTTTACTGATTGAATTGGTTTTATGCCAATTTTTTGAGTCCATGGTTCTTAGTGTCCTATGAGATAAGACAGATCATCCAATCTCGATTTTACCGGTCCAACAGACTGATCTGGAACACTTTTTTAACTTTAAAGATTGACATGGTCATAATGCCCTAAATTTTAATTACCAATTAAACAGGAACATAGAGAGTTGGCTAGAGAAGCAGTGAGGAAATCGCTTGTTTTGCTAAAGAATGGCCAGTCTGAGGATCAGCCATTGCTTCCCCTACCTAAGAAAACATCAAAAATACTAGTTGCTGGTAGCCATGCAGACAATTTGGGCTATCAATGTGGTGGATGGACAATCGAGTGGCAAGGGTTTAGCGGAAACAACCGTACAGTTGGTATTTCTCGACCTTCTGCAATATATTCCTGGCTTTTATAAACCTTAAGCATTAACCATTGCAATGTCTCTTCTTATGAATAGGTACAACAATCCTATCTGCCATCAAGAACACAGTTGCTTCAAGCACCGATGTCATATACAAGGAGAATCCTGAGGCTGAATTTGTCAAGTCCAACGACTTCTCCTATGCCATTGTCGTAGTAGGGGAACATCCGTACGCAGAAACAGAAGGTGACAGCTTGAATTTGACAATTGCAGAGCCAGGTCCAACCACAATCAGAAATGTCTGTGGAGCCATCAAATGCATTGTTATCCTAATATCCGGTCGCCCTGTTGTGATCCAACCTTACCTTGCCTCCATAGATGCTCTTGTTGCTGCCTGGTTGCCTGGAACTGAGGGTCAAGGAGTTGCAGATGTCCTATTTGGTGACCACGGTTTCACAGGCAAGCTACCTCGTACCTGGTTCAAGACGGTCAATCAACTGCCGATGAACATCGGGGATCCACATTATGATCCGCTATTTCCATTTGGGTTTGGCCTTACTACTGAACCAACTAAAAGACTAAGCTATGGGAATCCATTCTTAAGGTTTTCTCCTTTTTTTAATTAGTTTTCATCATCATGTACATTTGTTGTACAAATAGCTTTAGCTTTAGCAATTCTTGATATACACTCCAAAACTTGTTTTCTTACTCCAAAATTGTACGCGTAAATTAAAATATTTTATAATTTTATGAATACTACGAGGAATAATTCTAAACATATTATTTCAAAATTAAAAAAATGTTAAAACTAATACATTATAATTTTATTAAAAATATTTTTTTTGAATATCTTTAACCCATTTTTTTAAAATATTTTTAATATACATCTACTCTACTATACTACTTGCAGTTCATAAACGTAAGCATACTAAGCGGTATAAACAGAGAGACATAAATATAATCATGCAATGTTATGAACGACCACATTTTATAATTTACATAATAAAGTTCTTATTGACATGCGTGTTTCGTCTAGCATCAGTTACTATATCACATACACGATAATCACAATTTCACACAATAACACATTTATACAATAATGACAACCGATATTACATAGAGATTATGTAGCCTAGATAGAGAATCACAATATTACATAGAGGTTAGGTAGTCTAGATGATAATAAAATATATTTTTGAGTTAAAATAAGAAAAATATATATTAAAATAAAAAAAATATTTTTTAATTAAATTAAGAATACAATATATTTAATAAGTTAAGTTAAAATAACATATTTTTTTAAAAGTTAATATTTATATGTATATAATAAGTATTTATAGACTAAGGTACAAATTATATAAAACATGTTAATCTTAAACCAAGCAATGGTCTTGATTTGGTGACTAGGTGCATGTTTAGTTTCCACATATCACAAGTTCAAATCTCTTTAACTCCAATTTATAAATAATATGAATTTAATTTTTCAATCTGATTTGAACTCCAATTTATAAATAATATAAATTTAATTATTCAATTAAATAACAACTTAATTGTCGAATTTTTAACAGAAAAACATTATTTTGTATATTTTAATAGTCAAAGAACTTAACATAATACCATCCAATAGTCAGATTATTTGAGTAATTCACCCTAAAATGTAATTGTTTTAGGGCCATTCCTTTTCATTCAATCCAATTCAACTTTTTTCCCCATTTATTCTAATAAAAAAATAAATAAATGAAAGAGTTTTAAATTTTGATGGAGGTAGAAACTTAGCAATCATTCGACACATACGAACTTTTCCTTGTTTTGATTCCCCATACACCCACATAACATTTTCAACAGTCTCTCTCTTAAATCTTTTTTTTTCCCTCTTTTCAAGTAACAGAAGCCACTGGATTTCTTTTTCCTGTATGTATCTAACTTATGAACTCTCTTTATTTTCAGCTGTTTGCGTTATGTTATATCGATGTTTTTTTTTTTGGAGGGGGGGTTCCCTGGAAACCGAACATGTCGCCATTGGGATTCTTGTACTTATAATTGAAAGCTTTTGTAAAATTCAATACGTAGTTTCCACTGAGCTTTTTGTTGTTTTTGAGCTGTTTAATAAATGGGTCCTCTGCCATTCTTAGCTCCACTGTACTGGGCCATTTGATCCTTCTCTTCTGGTACACTTCCTTTTTTCATATATCTTCTTCAGAAGCGATCACCTTTCCTGAATACTACTGGATTGCTCTATGATATCTCAGTATTGGCAATAAATTGATCAAATTTGATACCAGATATCAATTAAAGTGGCTATTATTGTTCACCTACCTGTTTGTGCTACTTTTTGCCAAATTGCATTGTTTCTCATGAATGTAGTTGAAGGTCAATTTTTCGTTTTTCTGTACTTGGTTGCTTATAATGGATGTTTACAACTTTTATTGCCTAAATTTGGGATTCTAAGTATGCAAATTTTCTTTTTTATCTGGAGGAAATTGGAAGAAAATCAGGATGGCAAGAACAAGGATTCTTATCTTATTGGTGGGACTAGTGCTTTGGTGTTGCTTGAATATCCCAGCAAAATCAGAATATATGAAATATAAAGATCTGAATCAGCCGATACCTGTCCGAATTCAGGACTTGCTTGATAGAATGACATTAGAGGAAAAGATAGGACAAATGGTCCAAATTGATCTAAGAGTTGCTTCCGCTGAGGTGATGAAAAAGTATTTCATTGGTGAGCAACATCCATCACACTCTCCTTCAATAAAGTACACCAAATGAATCAATTTTCGAGGGAGCAACACTAGACTAAGAAGGGTATGTTTTGCTTTGTCAGGAAGTATATTAAGTGGAGGTGGGCATGTCCCAGCTCTACAAGCTTCTGCAGAAGCTTGGATAAACGTGGTCAATGACTTTCAAAGAGGTTGTTTATCGACCCGATTAGGAATTCCGATGATTTATGGGATTGATTCTGTTCATGGAAACGGCAATGTTTACAAGGCAACTATTTTTCCTCACAACATTGGTCTAGGTGCAACCAGGCATGTAGATGCAGCATAGCTGTTTGGTTTTAGACACTGGATATGCTTCAGAATTTAACTATTGTTTCACTTTTTTCTTATAAACCAGAGACCCTGAACTTGTTAAGAAAATCGGGGCTGCAACGGCACTTGAAACCAGGGCAACTGGCATTCCATATGTTTTTGCCCCTTGTATAGCGGTAGCTTTAATTTTCCAGTTCCTGTTTTGTTCATCTTAACCAGGAGAAGTGTTTCTCACTTCTGATTCTTTTACTACTTTCTTTGAACAGGTTTGCAGAGATCCAAGATGGGGGTCGATGTTATGAAAGTTACAGTGAAGATCCTCAGATAGTTCAAGACATGACAGAAATTATACCCGGATTACAAGGAGATATCCCTACTAACTCTCCTAAGGGTGTTCCATTTGTTGCCGGAAAGTAAGCAATTTTGCAAACTACATAAGTTCAGCTGAATTTTGGATTTAGACATGATCTTTATTTACATAGTTGACTAGATATAACAAAGATTCATGCTTTTCCTTTTCATGCTGTAATAACAGCACAAATGTCAATCTTTTAGTCTTGAAGTAATAGTTTGGCAATGGACCTGGTGTTTTTTATTCTATGTCACCTGGATTTAAGAATGTGCTGGGTGAAATATGTCCGTAGTGAAATATGTGTCGGTCAAGGGTATTTTATAGAAAATTAAAAGACTGAGCAACACAGGTCTTATTCCTAGTTGATTGTCGATGCTTAATGAGAATTTGGTGAAAGTGCGTTGGCCAACTGATGGTGCCCATGTCTCTACAATGTTCGTTTCTGAAAACTAAACTATTATACTTCTATTTTTGTGGGATACATAAATGATGTGTACATGAATTCCACTCCTTATAAAGAGCAAAGAAAAGTAGAAATATAGGTCCCACTTGCATCCACAATACAATGTTTGACTGCTTCATGTAATTAACTTGGTTGGGCTTACATCTTATTCAAAACATATTTGTGGATTCCAAGCATTGTTTTTTTTCTGGGGAAACTAATTTCTCTTTCTTTTTCTCCCTGTTATGGAATGAAGGAAAAATGTCGCGGCTTGTGCTAAGCACTATGTAGGTGATGGTGGAACAACCAAAGGCATAAACGAGAACAACACGGTGATAGACTGGCAGGGTTTGCTCAGCATTCATATGCCAGCTTACTATAATTCAATCGCAAAAGGTGTTTCAACGGTCATGGTCTCCTATTCAAGCTGGAATGGGATTAAAATGCATACTAATCGCGAGTTAATCACAGGTTTCCTCAAGAACACACTTGGTTTTAAGGTATAACTCTTTCTCATAGGACTGAAATCAAGTTTCATAGGTATGAATACTTCAGAAAAATGAAAAGTTACTTTACAAAAGAACCTGGGAACATAACATTGATTTTTGCACAATATCTCAGGGCTTTGTCATTACGGATTGGGAAGGTCTTGATAGGATAACAACTCCTCCGCATGCAAATTTTTCATATTCAATTCAAGCTGGAATCCGTGCTGGCATTGACATGGTTAGAGTTTGTTTGAATTTTGAATTCATTTTCATCTGTTTTTAAAGTGTTGGATCTTCTATTAATGTCAACAAATTGCAGGTCATGCTTCCATACAAACATAAAGAATTCATAGATGGGCTAACCTTCCATGTGAAAAACAATATCATCCCCATGAGCCGCATTGATGATGCAGTGACGAGAATTTTGCGAGTTAAGTTTGTATTGGGATTATTTGAGAACCCTCTAGCAGATAACAGCTTTGCTGACCATCTGGGAAGTCAGGTTAGTTTATTAGCCATGTTGCTCTTTAAACCAATGAATAAGAGACCAGGTCAATAGTTTAACTGTAAAAACCAGTTTAATTAAGCATTTTATCATTTTTACTGATTGAATTGGTTTTATACCAGTTTGTTGAATCCATGGTTCTTGGTGTCCTATGAGATAAGACAGATCATCCAATCTAGATTGAACTGGTCCAACAGACTGATATGGTCCTCTTTTTTAACTTTAAAGATTGACATGATCATAATGCCCTAATTTTTAAGTACCAATTAAACAGGAACATAGAGAGTTGGCTAGAGAAGCAGTGAGAAAATCGCTTGTTTTGCTAAAGAATGGGCAGTCTGAGAATCAGCCATTGCTTCCCCCACCTAAGAAAACATCAAAAATACTAGTTGCTGGTAGCCATGCAGACAATTTGGGCTATCAATGTGGTGGATGGACAATCGAGTGGCAAGGGTTTAGCGGAAACAACCGTACAGTTGGTATTTCTCGACCTTCTACAATATATTCCTAGCTTTTATAAACCTTAAGCATTAACCATTGCAATGTCTCTTCTTATGAATAGGTACAACAAATCCTATCTGCCATCAAGAACACAGTTGCTTCAAGCACCGATGTCATATACAAGGAGAATCCTGAGGCTGAATTTGTCAAGTCCAATGACTTCTCCTATGCCATTGTCGTAGTAGGGGAACATCCGTACACAGAAACAGAAGGTGACAGCTTGAATTTGACAATTGCAGAGCCAGGTCCAACCACAATCAGAAATGTCTGTGGAGCCATGAAATGCATTGTTATCCTAATATCCGGTCGCCCCGTTGTGATCCAACCTTACCTTGCCTCCATAGATGCTCTTGTTGCTGCCTGGTTGCCTGGAACTGAGGGCCAAGGTGTTGCAGATGT